CCCTACTTCCCCCCTTCCTTCCTCCCGTCCTTCCTCCCCTTCTGCCTCCCCTCCTTCCTCCCGTCCTTCCTCCTTCCTCCCTTCCCCTCCTTCCTCCCCTCCCCTCCTTCCTCCGTTCCCTTCCTTTTTCCTCGTCCCTCGTCCCTCCCCTCCTTCCTCCGCTCCCCCTTTTCCTCCCCTCCCCCCCTTCGTCCTCTTCCTCCTAAGAGCCATGGGCAGATCCCATGCGGACAGCCACGCACTCGGCAACGGAGCATGCCTCACGAGCACAGGTGGATGAGTGGACTGCACTGTGCTTCAAAAGAACACGCAGGTGGGCCCCACGCCTGGCAGCACACGTTCTCGACACGTTGACGGTCGTGGACACGAAATGGGAGCCGCGCGCACACGACCCACGCCCAGCATAATGCCGGCACGGCGGGCAGCGAGCGGACTGGGCCGAGGACACTTGGAATCTCCTGCGTGCCACAGGCACCGCGGACGACAGCGACGACAACGACGGCAAGCTACAGCATCTAGTGGCCTTCGGCCCATCCCACCACCGTGATTGGGTTGTGGGTCCGAGGGCTCTCGGATGTTCGCTGGGATCTTGTCGAGGCCTCTCCGGGGCCTGGAGGCAGTTTTGAGAGACCCCTGTGCGGCTGTTTTGGGGCCTCTTGGGGGCCTCTTTTTGGGCCTCTTTTTGAGCCTCTCGGGGGCCTCGCGGGGGCCTCGCGGGGGCCTCTTTGTGGCCCCGTGGGGCGTCCTAGGTGCTTCTTGGGGCGAAAGGCTTCTTGAATCTTGGGTCCGTGCTCTCCCTTTGGGACCCCTCTTGGGGCCATCTTGGGGCACTCTTGGGCCGCCTTGGGCGCCTCTTGGGCCGTCTTGGGGCTCTCTTTGGCTGTCTTGTGCCCCTCTTGGGGGCCTCAGGGGCCGTCTGGAGCGGTCTAGGGGGCCTCCTGGGACGTTCTGGAGCGTCGGAAGCTCGAAAAGTGGAGAACCCCAAAACATTGCAAATCCGATGGGACGTCAATGATTTTGGCATCTCGGGGCCCTCTTGGAAAGGCTCTTGGAGGCCTTCTCTTGGAACGTTTTGGGAGCTTTTTCGGCCGACTAGGCCATCTTGGGTGTCTTGGACCGATCGTTTGGCGATTCGGAGCCCTCTTGGACCATCTTGTAATTCTCTTGGGGCCCTCTTGCCCCATTTTAGATTTCCTGCGTTCCGCAAACACCGCGGAATATAGCGACGAGAACGACGATAAAAATCAGTGTCCATGTGACTCATCAAGCTTAGAATTCCGGGAAGCATCGAAAACCAAAGTCTTGTATTACGTACACACGTACTACACGCACTGGCCTTTCTCGGGTTGGTCAACACCACGAATGTATTCGTTTTCATTTTGTCGACTCCAGCTCCCGCCACTCCGACTCCAGCCCTCACTTTTCCCCAATCAGTGCTTGCACTGAAGGGGTCCTAGAGGAAGTTGAAAGATTTGGCGAAAGTTTCCCGCTGATTTTGGTAGCAGGCTTGGTTCCCGGGTTCCCGGTTCCGGGTTCCCGGGTTCGATTTGGCGAAAGTGTCCCGCCGATTTTGGTAGCCGGCTGGTTCCCGGGTTCCTGGTCGATCTCCTTATCGGTCTCTTTATCGATTCCACAATTCCTTATCGATCTCATGATCGATGTCACTATTCATCTCACTCAATCAATCTCACCATCGATATCATCAAGCCATCCACTGATTGGTGTCTGTTTTTTTTTTTTTTTTTTTTTTTTGTTCGTTCTCTCTCTATATATACATATATGTATATCCCTGTGCGTGAGCCCCAGTGCGCGGGCTGTGCGCCGAAGGACTACTTCATGTCCCACTGCCTGGACCACCTCGGCGTCGAGGCGCGTGGGCCCTGGTGCCCTGCCCCTTGCAGCACGAGCAGGGCCACGGGCACGAGCGAGCAGGGGCTCGACAGCGAGGAAGGGCGGGGCCAGGGCGAGGATCCATGCGTTCCAGAGCGCTCCTCCTCCTCCTCCTCCTCCTCATTCTGTGACGTCTTCCTCCTCCTCCTCCTCCTCCTCCTCTTCCCTATCCTCCTCCTCCTTCACCTCATCATTCCCCCTTGTCTTCCTCTTCCTCCTCCTCCTCCCCCTCCCCCTCCTCCCCCTCCTCCTCCTCCTCCTCCTCCTCCTCCCCTCCTCCTCCTCCTCCTCCTCCTCCTCCTCCTCCTCCTCCCCACGCAGTGCGGGCCACGGCGGTGTATCCGCGAAGCCCGCGCCGCGCCGCGCGCGGCCCGCGCGGCGCGACGCGCGGATCCCCACCCCATCCCGCGGCTTCCGAGTAGCCTTGGAATGGGAGGAGCCTCGAGGAAAAGCCTCAGGACCCCGAGAGTCAGAGGAGGGAAAGGTACGAAAGGTACCCATAGCGGCGATAGCGGGGAGTAGCGGTATCGGTACCTGTTGGTCTCCCCAGAGAGAGCCCTGGCCAGGAAAGAAAGAACGAGAGCAGCCTCAGAGGGCCTTGGAGCGAAGGGACGGCGAGGGCCGCGCAAGGCCGCGGGGGCGCGACAGATGCAGGGCTCGCGTGGGCCGTCACCCAAGACCGCAGGTCCTTTGGCCCCCGCGCCACAGACCACCAAATGGGATGCCGACCTCCAGCGCGCAGTAGCGAGGCTGGGGTGGTGGTAGGGGGGGCCAAGGCTCACATGCACGTGCGTGGTTTCACCCCAGGCAGGAAAGGAGCCGATAGACCTCAGGACTCCTGGGGCCATGCCGGAGAGAAGGAGCGGGGGAGGGCCCACAGACCGGGACGAGGACCCAGGAGGAGGACGCGCCCCCAGGTCCCCACGAGAGCAAGAGAGGAGGTTGCCTCCAGGGCTCTCGAGATCAAAGTCGGAAACTGGAGCATATACATTACCAGTGGCGGGCGGTTTTTCAATCCGAGGACTTTGCTGAGGGTCGGGGACGACGTTGGGGTGGTGTGGTGTATACTTTTTCTCCGTTTTCCCGAGGAAGCAACGAAGCATGTATACACCAGGATCCCGCATACACCAGGATCCGCTTTCCTATGCGAGATTCAGTGTGAGGCCAGACAAAGGCGTCGGCGTATAGAGTTCGGCTCCTTACAGAGGGGCCTCTGGACGGCCGCGCCGCCCGCGGCTCGCCGCGGGCGCCCGAGGCCGCTCAGCCTGTTCCCCCTCGGGGGCCGCCAGCCCCCTCCCCCCGTGGGAGGGCGGCACGCTCACCCCCGATGGGGGCGATGACGAAGAGGAGGCCGCTGTGCTGGGTGGCCACACCCGTGCTGCTCTGGGGGGTCGCAGCTGCGCCGGCGGCCGCCGTCGCCGTCGCGGCCGAGGGGGTCCAGCTCGTCTGCCTCTGCCCTCGGCCTCCTCGTCGTCGTGGGGGGGCGGGGTCGGTGCAGTCGAGGTCGGGGTCGGGGTCGTGGACGGCGCCGTCGGAGTCGGTCCTCGGAGGCTGGGCCGCCAGGGGGTCGGAGGCGGAGGTCGGAGGCTCGGCCGCCAAGAGGTTGGAGGAAGGGGTGCGTCGCCTTCGTCGTCGGGGTCGTCGCAATCGAAATCGTTGGGGCGGGGGCACGCCGCCGAAGTCACTCTCCTGGGGCGTGGCGTCGTGGTCGGCGTCGCCGACGGAGTCCTCCTCGTCGGAGTCGTCGTCGGCTGGGCCGTCATGGTCGTGGATCAGAACCACGCCGTTGGAGTCGCTCGCCTCGGGCATGCTGAAGCGGACCTTCTGGCACTGCGTCTCCTCGTCTGGGTCGTCGCGTCTGGTCTGCTTCCTATCGTCGTCGTGGTCCGGCTCCTCCTCGTCGTCGTCCGTCCTCCTTCACGTCTGCCTCTGAGTCCCTCTTCTCGTGGTCAGGGTCCACGTGCTCGTTCTCTGGGTCCCTCTTCTCGTCCATGGCGGCCGTCTCAGCACCAAGATTCTCGATCTCGTGTCCGATGAAGAGTGGCGCCCACCACGGATCTGCGGCAAGCTCTTCCCTTGGGTGATCGTTGGTTGACCCACGCCGCCATAGTTATCCCGTCGAGGGAGCCCCGAACAGCAGCAACATCTTCCGCTCCATCCGTGCCGCCGCCGTGCGTGTGGTAGCGCAGGAAGTTTGCGTAGGCGGCGAGCTCGACTATCGACTATCGACACTTTTTCGTAGGCACGCCGCAGATCCAGCGGGAGCTGCGCGTACGCGGCAAGCGCTCGTCTTGCTTGCACCAATGCGATGCGCGCGCTCAGGACCGCCAATTCATCCTTCGCCTTGTCCGTGGTGTCCCGGAACTCGTCGTCGAGCTCCTCCTCGAAGACACGCCACGGCCGTCCCGTCGTATTGTCGGTGGTATCTGGCTGCTCTGCCAAATTGCGTCGCGGACCTCCTGGTAGATCTCGTCTGCCTCTTCGGAGAGGCTGACGTCCGTGCGGGAATCGTTGTCCTCCTCGTTCTCGTCGTCTTCAGAGCGATACCGCTTGGGTCGTCGAACTCATCCGCGGGGTCACTCGTCTCGTGCATGCCGTCGTTGTGTTCGCAGTCGTCGCCGCACTCCTCCTTCTCGAGGTCGCGGCGTGCGGTGGCAGCGATGATGGCCTCCGCCGCTGTCCCGTGCAGCTGGGCCGTTGTGGGATAGGCAACGAACGGCAGGCAAGGTTTCCGCGGCCGCCGTAGCCGTCGTCGCCGACGTAGCCGCCGTAGCCGTCGTGCAGTGATACTCGAAAACGTAGCCGTCGTTGCCGTCGTAGCCGTTGCGCTCGGGCTCCTCCTTGTCACACCAGCTGTCATAGCCGTAGCACTGGTTGCCATCGTAGCCGTAGTACTCGAAGGCCAACCCAGGCAGGAACGGCGTCAGCTGAAGCGGTGGGGCCTCAACCACGATGAACTTGTAGGCCTGCGTGTTGGCTTCGACGCTCGCGTGCTGGATCTTTGGGTGGTCTGGAACCCCCTCCTCGTCCTCGCAGGTCGCGTCGCCAGTCTGCTCGACTGCGCCCGTAATCACCGCCTTCGCCGGCAGCGCGATGTCCTGACAGTGGATCCTCTGTTTCGGCCTGGCCGCTTACGCCAAGTGGCGCATAGCCACAATCAGTGGCCTCGCTGGCACGTCTGCCACCAGTCTTTGTCTCGTTGTTGGCATGGGGCTGGCCCTGCCACAGGGCGGCGCTCCCATGAGGTCGGTCCCAGCAGCGGCCCACCCCCACGAGGGGGGAAGAGGTTTGGGCCGCAATGGGTACGGATCTTCCCCTTCTCCTCGTCGTCGTCCTCAGCCTCCTCCATTTCTTTTCCTTATGAATAATTTCTCGCTGCCGCACCACGAGGCCAGTTTTTAGGGCGGGCCGAGTGTTTCGCCTGAGGCTTCCTCACCACTAGTGACTCTGAAGCTTAGATTTCGTAACAGTTTCACAGATGGAGGGCGGGTCGTTTTCAAAATGTGGCTCTCGCCTTAGCGCCGCGCACATTCGCTTTAATTATTTGCAACAGTTTTACGGATCGAGGGCGAATCATTTTTAAAACGCGGCTCTCGCCTAAGCGCCGCACGCAGTTGTTTTTTAACATTTGCAAGAGTTTCACGGATTGAGGGCGGGTCATTTTCAAAATGTGGCTCTCGCCTTAGCGCCGCGCACATTCGTTTTTTGAATATAAAAGTTTGCAAGGGTTCACGGATTGAGGACGGGTGGTTCTCAAACTGTGGCTCTCGCCTTAGCGCCGCGCACATTCGTTTTAAACACTTGCAAGAGTTTGACGGATTGAGGGCGGGTGGTTTTCAACATGTGCCATAGCGCCGCGCACATTCGTTTTTAAACATTTGCAAGGGTTTGATGGATTGAGGGCGGGTGGTGTATTTCCCCACCAGCAGAACTCAAATGACCAAACGCGTGTCTACACCTACATAACGTCCAAGAGCCAGACCATGCCAGCACCAGGAACGCACATTCAGTCCGTCATGCATGGTGAAGTGCCGCCCATCCACCAACCAACGGTCTGTCTCGTTGCCGTGGGGACAGGGCAACATTGGGTAAGGCGTGTCAGTAGACGTCGCTGAAGACAGTGTGCTCCATGACCAGGCTGGCGGACCATGGTGAGTCTCTGAGGCCAGCCACAACAAACGCACCAATGAAAACGCTGCCCCTCTTGGGCCGTCTTGGGCCCGCGTTGGGACTCGTGGGGCTCTCTTGGGAGATCCTGGAGCAATTTTGGGGCTTTACATCCCATCGGAAGCGAAAAAACGAGAAAGCGAAAATCAGGAAATCACACTGTGTTTTTTGGGGGTTGCTATCGGGGGCGTCCTCGCAAGGGTCTGGGGGACCACAAGCTAGCTATGGTGCGATCCGCTTGCGACAGTCAACGGGTTCTCTTGGAGCTCCGTGGAACTCTGGAAGACTCCTGCTGGAGTCCTCGTGGGAGGAGAGAGCCGCCCCCTGAACCAGTTGGGGAGTCGCTGGAAGCCGAAATGGCCCCCTGGAAGCCCCGGCAGAGCCCCCGGACGCCCAGGGAAGAAGCGTATTGCCAGGCGGGGAGGAAGTTTTGAAAGGTGGGTCGCCCCCTGGACCCAGGGTTTGCGTGGTCGCTGGGTATTGTATACGTATGTCTGCATTGCGTATGAGTGTATGTATAGCACACGTGCAATCATACATGCCGGTATAATTTGTAGGTGCCATATCTACGGACGCATATTCATATTCAATACATGCAAATTCGTACAGACGTATTCACACTGCATATATGTATGCGTATCCGCGTGCCTACGTATTTATATATGTATGTCTGTGTCTGCTTCCATTATGACTATTTACGCGTTTTCGTACAGGTACACGCTACACGGATGTATACGCATACGTAGACATATATATATGTATAGATATATACCTATATGTATTTATTTATTTATTTATTCATTTATGTATTTTTGTATTTTTTCTGTTGCAAGTATTTAGTCTTCGGCACCGCCTGATCCCGAGGCTTTGCCTCCTCCTGGTCTTGTCGTGAGGCCTCTCCTTCTGTCACCCCCCACTCGTTAATTCAAGCTTCGCGCGGCCCGCTTAGCTTCGACCGGAAGAGGTGTGTTCTCGACCCGCGAATCAAAAGTATCTATTTATTTTATCATTTATTCCCCATATCCTAAGATGGGGTTCTTGTTATTACTTGGACGCCTCCCGCTCCTTCTCCTTCCTCCTCCTCTTTTCTCCTCCCCTCCTGTCGGACATACTCAGACTTGTTCATACACAGACTTACTCATACTCAGACTTGCTCATACTCAGACCTACTCATACTCAGACTTACTCACACTCAGACATACTCATATACAGACTTACTCATACACAGACTTACTCATACACAGTATTAGTCATACCCAGACGTACACATACACAGACTTACTCATACACAGACTTACTCATACTCAGCACCCCTAAGGGGAGCCGCCAGGGGTGGTTGCACGGGCTCGTTCGCGGCCATTTTGTGGGGATGTCTCAGGCGGTTTGCCTGTTTCTGTGCCCAACATCCTTCGCTTTCGGAGCAGATTTGGAGGATGTCTCGAGCGAGGCGCTCATTTCAGCACCCCTAAGGGGAGCCGCCAGGGGTGGTTGCACGGGCTCGTTCGCGGCCATTTTGTGGGGATGTCTCAGGCGGTTTGCCTGTTTCTGTGCCCAACATCCTTCGCTTTCGGAGCAGATTTGGAGGATGTCTCGAGCGAGGCGCTCATTTCAGCACCCCTAAGGGGAGCCGCCAGGGGTGGTTGCACGGGCTCGTTCGCGGCCATTTTGTGGGGATGTCTCAGGCGGTTTGCCTGTTTCTGTGCCCAACATCCTTCGCTTTCGGAGCAGATTTGGAGGATGTCTCGAGCGAGGCGCTCATTTCAGCACCCCTAAGGGGAGCCGCCAGGGGTGGTTGCACGGGCTCGTTCGCGGCCATTTTGTGGGGATGTCTCAGGCGGTTTGCCTGTTTCTGTGCCCAACATCCTTCGCTTTCGGAGCAGATTTGGAGGATGTCTCGAGCGAGGCGCTCATTTTCACCCCCCAGGTGGGCCAGATTTTGAGGATGTCTCGATCGGTTTGCTAGTTTTGGTGGCCAGGCTCGTGGGCGCAGATTCTTCTCAGGATGCCACAGGAGGCTCCAACAGGCTCCAGGAGGCTCCAGGAAACCACATGAGGTCCCAGGAGGCATCAGGAGGCCACAGAAAGACTCAAGAGGCCACAGGATGTCCCAAGAGGCTCCAGGAGGCCCCAGGAAGCTCCAGAAGGCCTCAGGAAACCACAGGAGACCCCAGGAGACAACAGGAAGCGCCAGGAGGCCTCGGAAGGCAACAGGAGGCCCCGAGAGGCCCCAGGAGCAGGAGGCCTCAGAAGGCAACAGGAGTGGCTCCAATCCCATGTGTTTTACGTATGCTCCTATCGATTGGGCCTCACCTGGAGCACGATTCTTTGATGTTCTACGTATGTTTCTATAGATGGTCCTTCTCCTGTGTACACAATCCTAAATGTTTTACTCATGTTCCTATGTATTGGGCCTCTCCTGGGGCACGAGTCCTTGGTGTTTTACGCGTGTTCCTATAGATTGCCCTTCTCCTGTGGCTCTAATCCGCAATGTTTTATGTACGTCTGTTGCTATAGATTGCGCCTCCCCTGGGGCATGAAACCTTCCTAGGAGGTCCCAGGAGGTCCCAAGAGGCTCCTGGAGACCCCAGGAAGCCCCAGTAGGTTTCAGGAGGCCCCAGGAGGCCCCAGGCTCATGCACAGAGACGCGCTCGTACTACTGAGGCTCATTCACACTCCAATTCATTCGCAGTTAGATTGATGTCCAGACCGTCACAACTGAAGCCCGTTAATATTCGAAAGCTCTTGCGCCTAGACATTCACGGCGGACAGGTCCATGCGAGTAGATGCACATATGGGGAGCTCCACGCAGTGAATAATCTATTTACTTATTATGTATACAAATGTAGATATCATGGTATTGCAAGTCGGTCCCTCCGCATGGGTCCCTGCGCACTGCCTCGCAGCCACGCCTGGCGTTCGCTTTGCCTCTAGCTCTTCGTCTCCCGCGGCTCGCTCCTGAGGGTTTGACCTCGTTGTCTGTGGCCCCGCTGATCCGTCGCTCACCCTGTGCGCACCACGTATCCATATGTGGCTTGCTTCCTGCCTCAGCTCCCTTCGCGGCCGAGGGTAGAGGGGAGAGAGCAGGCACGAGGCGGAAGCGACCGGGGCGAGGGTGGTTGGTAGGTAGGGATGGGCGCGGAGGAAAGCAGGGCGGGAGGGGGGACGGGAGAGGAAGGGAGGGAGAGAGAGAGAGAGGGAGAGAGAGAGAGAGAGAAAGAGAGAGAGAGAGAGAGAGAAAAAGAAACAGAGAAAAGAAGAGAGATAGAGAGAGAGAGAGAGAGAGGAGAGGGGGGAGGAGCGAGGCTGAGGGATGGCGGGGAGCGAGAGAGAGAGAGAGAGAGAGAGAGAGAGGCCGAGGGAGGGAGAGGGATGGATGGATGGAAGGGGGGGGAGGAAGGAGGGGGGGCGGGAGGGGGAAGGAAAGGGAAGGGGCATGGAAGGGAGGTGGAGTCACGGAGGGGGGGGGAGGGATGCGGCCGCTGCAGGCCTTCTTGGACACCGAGGAAATCGGCGACAACCTGTGCAATGGAGCGTTCTGCGGCGAGGGCAGCAAGGCTCGCCCCCCCCGCTCCGGCTCAAGCGCCCGACGTTGGGACCGTACCTTCCTTGGTCCCTCCTCCCCTTCATCCTCCCTCCCTCCCTCCACCCCTCCCCGCCTGGACGTTCGATCCTTCCCTCCTCCCTCCCTCCCTTCTCGTTCCTGGCAGACCAGGCGTCAGTGTTCTGAGCGTTCCCAGGGGTCTGATGGCGTCCAGAGCTTGTTCTTTGCGTGATTGTAGCGGGCGATTGCGTATCGCCTGCGAATGCGAATTCATATCGTCCCCGTGGAGGCATGCATTCGCGAAGTCCGAGCTGCAGCTCAAACCCTCCCTCCCTCCCTTTTTATGGCAGCGCAGATGCTGTGTGATTTGCTAGGGGTGGTGGCCCTATGAGCCTGTCCTCTTTATAAAGTACCGTTGTTCGTGGGGCCCAGGGCTCCGAAGACACTTTCAGAGGGTGTCGATGCGCCCCCCGTTGGGGCCAGTCTTGGGACTTACATTGGGGGGGGGGTGGCATGGTACAAGTGGTATTGTAAATCGGCCGCAGCCACATCAACATCGAACCCAACGCAACTTGACGTCTCACAGCGTGGAGGCTCCACAGGGGGCCGTAATTTCACCTCTGGATGGTATCCCTGGGTCATCTTTGGACTGGATAGCATCCTCGGGGCACGCTGGACCATCTTGGTCCCATCTTGAGCCTCATTGGCTTTACTATGGATGCGATGCTGTGCCACCTGGGTCATCTTTGGACTGGATGGCATCCTTGGGGCACGCTGGACCATCTTGGTCCCATCTTGAGCCTCATTGGCTCCACCATGGATGCGATGCTGGGCCACCTGGGGCATCTTTGGACTGGATGGCATCCTTGGGGCACGCTGGACCATCTTGGTCCCATCTTGAGCCTCATTGGCTCCATCATGGATGCGATGCTGGGCCACCTGGGCCATCTTGGGGCTACTTGGGCCATCTTGGACGCTCCAGCGCTTCCCGACCGAGGCGGTCGCACGAGCGTAGCGATTCGTATCAACCACTCCCACTGACGGGGATCTTTGGGGCCAGAGGCTGCGGCTCTGGGGCAGGCCGGGTGCGTCCGAGAGGGGATGAGGACCAGGGGTGTGCAGATAATAGTGGCCCAGGGGTGGACCTAAACGGTGTTTTGGCGATCTCCTGGGCCGTTTTCGTTTCCACGTCATTCTGCGGCACAGGCGGATGTAATATGAAACGAGGGAAAAAACCAAACACACAACGAAAACGAACAACACTTGGGAGGTCGAGCCCCGTCGTGGCCCCCCTTTTCTCTCTCAGCGCGCTCCCTGGCTCCCCCCCCTTCGTCCGCGCACGGTGCTTCGGACCACGCTGCGCCGACCCCTCCTCTTCCCGGCCCCCCCTCCTCTAGGCGCACCCGAGCACGGGGAGGGAGAGAGGGAGGGGGGTGCTGTTCACCTGGCATCGCTCGGACGTGCGCATGTTTCCTTCGGCGAGGACCGTCGAGGAGCATCCTGGATGATTTGGCGAAAAAACCACGCACGAAACCGAAAAAAACACAGGGAATGGACGTCCGAGCGATGGCCAGTTCACGAGCGGCGAATCTCTCTGCATCCGCGCCCTTGCGGTCTGGATCCCGGGGCGCGACCTCGCACGGATCTGCTCTCCGCGCGGGGCATCCGTGAGACAACGCCCCGCAACCGCGGGGGCGCGACCCATTGGGCCCGGGTCGCGAGGCCGCGGACACGGATTTTTTTTGGAAACATCTTATTATTATTATTATTATTACCTTCATCATTATTATTATTGTTGTTCTTCTTCTTCTTATTATTAGCATGATTATTATTTTTAGTATTATTATTATACTAATTATTCTAATTATTTGAATTATATTATTACTATTATTATTATTACTACTATTAATATTATTATCATCATTATCATTATCATTATATATATATATGTATATTCTCCTCTTCCTAGATTTTTATAAGCCCGGGCCGGGGGAAAACCCGTCCCCCCCCCCAAAACCGGACTCCCGGGGCCTGGGGCTTTGGGGCCCTCCGGACGGGCTTCGAAGCGGCCACCGGGCCTCGCAAGGCGTTTTGCCAAGCCTTCCCAGCACACTTAGGGCGATCAAGGGGGTCATCGGAAACGTCCCAGATACCCCCAAGACAGCACAAGAGCGCTCCAAGAGTGACCGACGTGACCTCAAGATGGCCCAAGAGGCCTCCAGGACGGCCCCAAAGAGGCCTCCAAGAGCACTCCCAAGAAGGCCCCCCGAGGCAAGAATCATTGATTTTCTTTGGGTTTTTGGTGAATTGTGGGGTTATCCCCTTTCCGGCTTCCCGACGCTCCAAGACGGCGGTCTTCTGGGCGTCCGAAGCCGCCTGGGAGGTTCCCAAATCGCCCCACAACCATCCGAAAGGGCTTCCAGGCAGTCCAAGAAAGCCCCAAAACGGCACAACACGGGTCCAAGATGGCCCTCAGAGAGCCCCATGGCGGCCCAAGATGGCCCAAAGACACCCTCCGAAGAATTCCAAATCGTGATTCGGTCGTTCAGGGAGACGGCGGTTGGAGGCAGGGTGGCCCGAGGAAACCCCCGGAGGCCCCCAGAATACGCCCAGGAGGCCTCCAGAAGGCCTTAAGAAAGCCCGAAACAACTTTTGTGAGGCCCCTAGAGGCTCTCCAAGGAGGAGCCTCCGCAAAAAAGAGCTGAGGAGGATGGGGAGAATGCGCAGGGTATGGCGAAAATAAGGAACAATAACCATGGAGGAAGGATAACGAAAACATCATTATAGCGGCGATGCCGGAAAAAGGCAACCAGGAGTTATCGCTAAATTGTCGGCTTGACCTTCCTGCCATTCCGCCTGCATACCAAACTTCAAGGACCAAGGTGCATGGCGCGAAGCGCCACTGCAGTCTTGTGTGTATATATATATATATATATATATATATATATATATATATATATCCCTGGGGGCAGGCCGGGGGCCCCGGGACAGGTGCCTCCACCCCCCATGGCGGGACCGGGGCTCATTTTCCCTGTGTTTTTACAGGGTTTCCGCGTCCTGGGCCTCGGAGGCCGCCGCCTCCGACCCCCCATGGGCCAGGAGGGCCTCCAGAGGCTCCCAAGACGGCCCAAGCGGGCCCCGAGTCGCCGAAAGACCGCTCCAGGACGCCCAAGATAGGCCCAAGACGGCCCGAGAGGCGCCCCAAGGCACTCCACGACGCTTCAAGACGCCTCTCCAGAGCGCTTCCAGAGGCCGAAATCGTCAATTTTACGAAGGTTTTCGACCGATTTTGGCCTTCCAGCCTTTTCGGCTGTCCGACGTTCCAAGATGGCTCAATAGGCCCCCAAGAGCGCCCCAAGACGGCCCAAGAGGGCCCCAAGACGGCCCCAGAGTCGCCCAAGACAGCCCAACAGAGCCCCAAGACGGCCCCAAGATGCGCCCAAGAGGGGGACCACGACTCCAAAATTCGACCCTCCAGCTTGAAGAGTGCCCCAGGAGGCCCCAAGGAGCCCCCAAGAGGCCCCAGGATGCCCCCAATAGGCACCCAGGAGGCCCAAACGATGCCTACAGAGGCCACAAAACAGCCCCGAGGAGGCCCCACAACGGTCCCAAAACGGCTACCGAGAAGCTGCGAAACTGCCTTCACGACGTCCCCGACAGGCCAACCACGAGATCCAAACAACACCCATGAGGCCTCTGACCCACCACCCAGGGCACGGTGGCGGGAGCAGTGACAGCACTTGTGCACAGCATGTTCCGGCGGGAGCCTTCCGGAACACGCTGCAGGAGGAGGAGGAAGATCAGGAGGAGAGAGAGCTGGAGTGGGAGGAGGAGGAGGGGGACGAGGAGGAGGAAGAGGCCTCCCAGACAGCTCCAAGATAGCCGAAGAGGCTTCCAAGAGGGCCCTGGGCGGCCCACGAGGGCCCCAAGGCGGTGCCTGAGGCGCCCAAGACGGCCCGAGAGGGCCCCAAGACGGCCCCAAGAGAGGCCCAAGAAAAGGAAACACGAACCGAGAATCCGAGCTTTCTACCCCGAGAGGGTCTCGGGAAGTCCCAAGAGGCCCCCAATCGGATCCAAGAGGCCCCCAAGAAGCTCCCGAGAGGGCCGACGAGGTTCCAAGAGATCTCCCAAGGTGGCCCCAAGAGGCACAACACATTGTTTTACGATTGGGCTTTGACGTTTTTTTTCGGCCTTTTGGCATCCCGATGCTCCAAGACGGCCCAAGAGGCTTCCAATACCGCTCCCATATAGAGGAAGAGGCCTCCAAGAGGGCCCCAAGACGGCCCGCGAGGGCTCCAAAACGGTGCTTGAGGCGCCCAAGACGGCCCGAGAGGGCCCCAAGAGCCCCAAGAGAGGCCCAAGAAGGGGAACGCGACCCAACAGCAGAGCGGTCCCCCCACAAGGCCCACAGGAGGCCGCAAGAGGCCCCCAAGTGGTCCGACGAGGACCCCCAAAGCTTCCCCGAGGGCCTAAAAGGCCACCAGGAGACGTCCAAGAGGCTTTCAAATAGCCCAAGAGTACCCTCGATGCGTCAAAACTGCTTCAGGAGGCCCCGGGAGGCTTCCGGATTGCCTCAATCTGGCCGCAGGTGGCCTCAAGTCGGGCCTCCACGCAGCCAAGACGGCCAATGACGGCTTCAGATTGCAGAACCGATGCCCCCAAGGGACCCTCAGACGCCCCCCCAAGAAGCACCCAAGAGGTGCCTCCAACAGCCAGTTGACGAAGCATGCGGAACCCCCCAGAAGATCCTCAGATGCCGTCGCGCGCCTGTGCTTGATAGCGTTGTCCAAGATCGTCCAGCGCCCCCCCGGCCTGGGCTAGAACCTGAGCGCGCGCGCGAAGCGCGCGCGATGGTTCTAACCCAGGGGCTCGAAAACAGCTGCCCGACCCTCCATGCGAGTACCAGGGCTCATTTTCGCTGTGTTTTCACGGGGTTTCGGCGTCCCGGGCCTCGGAGGCCGCCGCGATGGTCCCGGACATTTTCCAGATCCTCGGCGCGGGCTCCAAGACCATTCCGCAGAGGGCTCCAACAAGCTCCAGGGCAGCCCAAGAGGGCTCCAAGACGGCTCCAGGAACGACTGCAGGGTCTCATTTTTCTTTTGTTTTCTGCAAGACGGCTCCAGGAAGACTGCATGTCTTCTGAGTATGGCTTCCGCCTCTTGCCCCGAGCATCCCAAACTGCCTGAACGGTTCCCACTCGCCTTCCTCAAACCCAGCGCTTGCCCAAGCGCGTTCCGGACGGTCTTCGCCGGAACGCGCTAGAATGATCACGCGCTGCGGTTTCCCATGCCAACGTCCTCGGACGTGGGCGCCCTGCCACGAGCGCGTTCCGGGAAGATGCTCCTGGAACGCGCTGAAAAGATATGGCCACATCTCGGGGACGCTCCCGGCACTGCTGCCCCAGCCTTTCTGGGCAGCCTCCACAGCGCTCCAGGCCTAGGAGCCCCCAGAATGCGAAAGGATGGCCCAAGACGCTCCCGAGCAGCCCAAGTCAGCCTTCCGACGGCTCTCGAGGCTCCCGGGTGGCCTCCAAGAGACCCCAAGAAGTCTGATAGGTATCGCGGTACGGCCTGGAGAGGCCAAAGTCGTATATGTTCAATATTCTTTTCAATGTTTTTGGCTTCTCGCGTTTTCGAGCTCCCATCGGTCCAAGAGCGCCGAAAAGCCTCCATGGTCCATGGGGGTACTGGGGCTCATTTTCCCTGTGTTTTTAAAAGGGTTTCCGCGTCCTGGGCCTCGGAGGGCGCCGCCTCCGACCCCCCATGGGAGGAGGGGCGGCCGGGGAGGTCCAAAATAGTCCAGGAGGGCCTCCAGAGGCTCCCAAGACGGCCCAAGCGGGCCCCGAGTCGCCGAAAGACCGCTCCAGGACGCCCAAGATAGGCCCAAGACGGCCCGAGAGGCCCCCCAAGGCACTCCACGACGCTTCAAGACGCCTCTCCAGAGCGCTTCCAGAGGCCGAAATCGTCAAGTTTACGAAGGTTTTCGAACGATTTTGGCCTTCCAGCCTTTTCGGCTGTCCGACGTTCCACGACGGCTCAATAGGCCCCCAAGAGCGCCCCAAGACGGCCCAAGAGGGCCCCAAGACGGCCCCAGAGTCGCCCAAGACAGCCCAACAGAGCCCCAAGACGGCCCCAAGATGCGCCCAAGAGGGGGACCACGACTCCAAAATTCGACCCTCCCGCTTGAAGAGTGCCCCAGGAGGCCCCAAGGAGCCCCCAAGAGGCCCCAGGAGGCCCCCAAGAGGCACCCAGGAGGCCCAAACGAGGCCTAAAGAGGCCACAAAGCAGCCCGAGGAGGCCCCACAACGGTCCCAAAACGGCTACCGAGAAGCTGCGAAACTGCCTTCACGACGTCCCCGACAGGCCAACCACGAGATCCAAAGCAACACCCATGAGGCCTCTGACCCACCACCCAGGGCACGGTGGCGGCAGCAGTGACAGCACTTGTGCACAGCATGTTCCGGCGGGAGCCTTCCGGAACACGCTGCAGGAGGAGGAGGAAGGAGGAGAGAGAGCTGGAGAGGAGGAGGAGGGGGACGAGGAGGAGGAAGAGGCCTCCCAGACAGCTCCAATATAGCCGAAGAGGCTTCCAAGAGGGCCCTGGGCGGCCCACGAGGGCCCCAAGGCGGTGCCTGAGGCGCCCAAGACGGCCCGAGAGGGCCCCAAGACGGCCCCAAGAGAGGCCCAAGAAGGGAAACATGAACCGAGAATCCGAGCTTTCTACCCCGAGAGGTTCTCGGGAAGTCCCAGGAGGCCCCCAATCGGATCCAAGAGGCCCCCAAGAAGCTCCCAAGAGGGCCGACGAGGCTCCAAGAGATCTCCCAAGGTGGCCCCAAGAGGCACAACTCATTGTTTTACGATTGGGCTTTGACGTTTTTTTTCGGCCTTTTGGCATCCCGATGCTCCAAGACGGCCCCAAAGGCTTCCAATACCGTTCCCACATAGAGGAAGAGGCCTCCAAGAGGGCCCCAAGACGGCCCGCGAGGGCCCCAAGACGGTGCTTGAGGCGCCCAAGACGGCCCGAGAGGGCCCCAAGAGCCCCAAGAGAGGCCCGAGAGGGGGAAGGCGACCCAACAGCAGAGCCTTCCCACCACAACAAGGCCCACAGGAGGCTGCAAGAGGCCCCCAAGTGGTCCGACGAGGACCCCCAAAGCTCCCCGAGAGCCCAAAAGGCCCCTGGGAGACGTCCAAGAGGTTTTAAAATAGCCCAAGAGTGCCCCAAATGCATCAAAACTGCTTCCAGGAGGCCCCCGGGAGGCTTCCGGATTGCCTCAATCTGGCCGCAGGTGGCCTCAAGTCGGGCCTCCACGCAGCCAAGACGGCCAATGACGGCTTCAGATTGCAGAACCGATGCCCCCAAGGGACCCTCAGACGCCCCCCCAAGAGGCACCCAAGAGGTGCCTCCAACAGCCAGTTGACGAAGCATGTGGAACACCCCAGAAGCTCCTCAGATGCCGTCGCGCGCCTGTGCTTGATAGCGTTGTCCAAGATCGTCCAGCGCCCCCCCGGCCTGGGCTAGAACCTGAGCGCGCGCGAAGCGCGCGCGATGGTTCTAGCATATATTTATATATGTATGTGTGTATATATATATATATATATTTTTTCAAAAGGGGGCCCACAAAGAACGTACGCGCCCAGCTATGTACATGAATACGGGCTCTTGACCCGCGGGACCGGCCGCGTGATGCGAACATTCGCGCAGCGCGAACTCTCGAAACCCGCGAAAAAAAAAGGACACGGATGTGCTTTTCGCCCACGATCGGCGGCGGGCGCGGGGGGGAAATGAGAAGGGGCGGGACTTCCGAGGCTTCTGAGAAGTTTCTGGACTTCTGAGATGGCTTCTGAGAAGTTCCGTCTGTATTCGAAATAGGCCAAGGAAACGTCTCAGAAGCCCCCTGGACTTCTAAGAAGTCCCGCGGCCTTCTGAGAAGGCCTTCTCCTTCTCATTTCCCCCCTGGGCTCGTCGCCTACACGAGTCGTCCATGCGCTCGTGGCTGCTCGTCTGCCTGCCGTCGCCCGTCGCAGGCCGCCTTCCACCCCTTCAAGAGCGTCGGGGCGTGGGAGCAGTGCTGGCGGGAGGCCACCGGCCAGCAAGGCGGCGGGCCGCGCGGGAGGAGCGTGCGGCGGAGGGGGGAGGGGCGGGGGGAGCGTGCGGCGGGGGGGGGGAGGGTGGCAGGCCAGCCACAACTTCACCACCCACCAAACCACCCCAACCCAACCCGAAGGCCTCAATTTGCCCTCCATTTCCAGTTGGGGGGGGTCGGGGAACATTGAAAAAACACATATGGAACCCGTACCCCCCCCCCAACCCGAAATTCGGGTCTTCGGGTTGGGTTGGGGTGGTCTGGTAGGTAGTCACAACCGGGGGAGCTGTGGTCCTTACCCCCCCTGGGGGACCCATCGATTTGGACACGCCTCTCGAGAGGTCGTCGACGCGATGGGTTCCCCCAGGGGGGTAAGGACCACGGCTCCCCCAGTTGTGGCTGGTCGGGGTGGAGCGAGGAGGGCTGGCAGGAGAGGTGGGGGCAGGGAGAGGCGGGCGGCGGGCGGAGGAAAGGGAGGCCAGCGCCAGCGACAAGAGGATCGGCAGGGTGCAGGAGGGCGTGGACAGATCTCTTCACGAGAGGCAGACCATACAGCACGCCTAAAAGATGGAGGGCACCATGACATTGACATAACCACGTTGAAACAAAAGATGCAAGCCACTCCGAAGGACATCGAGGCGATACATAATGTGGCGAAAGCAGGTTCGGTGGTAGGAGCACATTGCTTCGGCACAGAAGGCGCTCACATGGTCCGTCACGTTAGTCCCATTCGTCATCAATGAGAGATCATGCACTGGGTTTGGTGATGGAGGGCAGCCGTGGATTTTGCGCGTTGTTCTCGCCTGCGCTGCTCGACCAGGGTAAGCATCGCTTGCGCTGTTGTTAGCTGACGGCCCCCCGTTCGGCCGCCGGCCCTGCATGGCGCCAAGGGAGGCCTCGGGTGCCAGGCAATTGCATGACGGTCCCGTGCCCTGTTTCAAAACACAACGTACTCCAGATTTCGTAATAAAGGGAGGGGGGTCTCATTTCGGGGGGGGGGTCTTTTCCAAGCTATCTTGGAGGGCCTGGGGGGGTCTGGGGACGATGTTTTGGAGGGTTCTCCCACGGGGGGGGGTCTGAAATGGCTTGTCTTGGAGGGTCCAGACCCCCTCCCTTTTATTACGAAATCTGGAGTATTGTCTCGCATGGGCATTTTCGAGTTTCGGGTGGGCTGCTTTTGCTGCTGCTGATGGTGCTGCTGCTGCTGCTGCTGCTGCCGCCCGTCACCCTGGCCGCCCCGAGTGCGCCCTTGGCCTTTTGACCTCCCCTGCACCCTGCTTCCATTTCTGGCCCCTCATCCCTCGCCTCCTCGTCGTCGTCCTCCTCCTCCTCCTCTTCCTCCTCCTCCTCTTCCTCCTCCTCCTCCGCCTCCTCGTCCTCCTCCTCCTCCTCATCCTCCTCCTCCTCCTCCGCCTCCTCCGCCTCCTCCTCCTCCTCCTCCTCCTCCTCCTCCTCCTCCTCCTCCTAGCCGTTTGGGACGTGTCTGCTTGCGTGCAGGGAGGGCGCGCGGGCCTGAGGTCGCCGACGATCTCCACGCGATTTCGGCTGGGATCCTGAGTCTCGGAGCAGGGAACGCATGTCACACACAGCTGGCCGCTCTCAGGCATTGGGAGGGGCAGGGAGGGGCCGACAGAGGCGCAGGATGCAAGAGGGAGCGGAAGGCGAACCCTGGCCTGTTCTCGGGAAGCCCGTGCAGACAGGTTTCCGGCTTCTGTCTGCGTTGTCTACCCTGCCGCCGCCCTGGGCCGAGCAGCCTCGGCCGTGGTGGAAGGCGGACCGACCTTCCCCGCAGCGTAACGTTTCGGATCCGAAGCAGAAGCCAGTGAATGAGATGAGTGATGTCAAGGTGGGCTGCACGGCGTGCAGCAGATTGGCTTGCGTGTCTGAGTTGCTCATGTTCAAGAACACGTGTCTGTGCGGAACGTCCTATGGTAATCACCCCTCAGCTCTTGGGACTGGCAGGGCAAGGGCTCGTAGGGCAAGGGTGTTGGCAAAGCTCAGGCAGGGGCAGTGCTGCTGCCATGACGGTTCAGCTTGAAGCATCCAGGCGGAGCCTGGCAGTCAGCAGGCCCCGGCGGCGAAGCAGTTGCAACGCACGTGAGGCGGCTGCCCAAACCCCGCTGCAGCCGACGCAGCAGGTCACCGCGGCGGCCGCCAAGTTCCAGCGAGGCCAGGTGGCTTGCGACAAGGCCAGGCGGAATAAGTTGAAGCTCGCCTTGGAGGTTGCGAAGGCCTCGGAGGCGATGGCGGATGCGGCTCGGACTCTTGCAGCAGCGGGGACGGAGCGAGCCGACCTTTTCAAGACGATGGTGCTTTTCGGCAGCGCGAGGTTTTCAGGATCGGCGGCCATTGACTTGGGGCCCTTGTTGTGCATGACTGAGGGCGAGTTTGGTCATGGCATGCTCGCGCCGTCTCTTGGTTCAGAGTGTTAGCGAACGACGACGGTGTCATGCCTTCGCCGGATCTGGAGGAGCTTGGGCGCCGCAAGAAGACGGTGCCCGTGGCCTCGTGCTGCAGGTCACCGCGAGCTGACGACCCCTCTTCGCGAGTTGGGGTCGCAGCTGACGTGGCCCTGGCAGTGGCCCACCCCTCTCACCTTTTCCGTTTCGCAAGCCCGATGCGCGTGAGCATCGCGCAGCCGGGCTCAATCGTTTGCGTGGGTCGCTCGCGGGGCCGCGCGTGCGACCTCGCCCTCTGCGGGGGTCTGGGCCGAGCCTCGTGCTGGCCTGCTGGGGCGCTGCACTTCGGGGGGGGGCCGTGCTCTGAAAGGGAGGCGCTGCTCAGGTGCTGCGCCGGCATGGCTGCCGCGGCCTCGGCCCTCCCCGAGTTTTGTCATGCTTTTTATCTAGCGTCAAGTCGGGCGTGTCCCTCTACAGGGGGAATAATCAAAATAGTCAACAAACAGTTTTGGGACGGGTTTTCGGCTATTTTGGGTTACTTTTGAATATTTTTGGGTCCGTTTTATTTTTCATCCCAAATCCGCCTGTAGGGGGACACGCCCGACCTTAGGTGCTGCGCCGACGAGGCTGCCTTGGCCTGTGCCCTCCCCGAGTTTTGTCATGCTTCTGTCCAGCGGGGCGTGGGGGCCTCTTGGCAGAGGAGGCCATCGGGGAATGATCCCCTCGAGCAGTCTCCCGGCCTTCCAGCTGTTCGCCCGCGCGACGCACTCGTCGAGCGGGTTCCCCCCTTCGTGGTCTGTTGGCCCGAATCACTACCGTCGCGCCCAGTGTCGCCCCCCTCGAGCAGCAGCCCGGGGTCCTCGTGGCCGAGACGGTCACGGAGTGGGAGGCCCTGGGGGGCCAGCGAGCCGCGGAGGAAGCCAGCGCCGGCATCGTCGCCGCCGCCAGACCCAGCAGGGTCGGGTCGTTGCTGGACCAGCCCAGCGACGGGGACTTCTGGATCGAGCGCTTGGGGAAGACGAGGCAGACGAGCAGGATCGAGACTTGATTCGAGAGCTCCAGCTCTGGTGGGCCGAGCCCGAGACCCCTCGTTCGCCGCGGCCGGGCCGGGCCACGACGGATCCAGAAGAGGTCAGGAGATAGTCTGGACGAGGTTGAGTCCGGAAGAACGGGAGGAGTTCCAGAAGGCCGACTCGGCGGGGTGGTTCGCAATGGCGGCCGCCAAGGCCGCGCGGGTGGGCTCCCTTCGGAAGCGTCTCTGGTCTTGGCATCGCTCGGACGTGTGCATTCTTTCTCGGCGAGGACCTTGAGGAGCATCCTCGACCATCGGACCAACAAAGCACGCACGAGACCGACAAATGCACAGGGACTGGACGTCCGAGCGACGGCGAGTGGTCCGACGGAAGGACCCCGCGCGGACCCTCTCCTCGAGGGTGGTCGGGCGGTGGAAGCCGAGGGAGGGGGCGGTCGCGCTGGTGCGTGGGCGGCTGCGCCGACCCCGACGCGGTGTCGCTTCGAGTCTATGCTCCGACCCCCCAGGAGGAAGCGGTTTTCGTGGCCCTGCAGCTCGTGCCCGGCAAGAGGTGGAATCACCAGCACGCGAGCGACGATTTTCTGTCTTGCTGTACGGGGACTGTTTCGGTTCCCGGCCAGGCGGCGTCGTGCGATACGTTCGTACAAAGCGATGGTTTTGCTCATGGTTCCGGCAATTGTACGGAAGTCCGGCCGGAATAGTAGCGGGCTGTGAGAGCGCGTTCTGTCGGGCGGACCCCCCAGCGGGAAGATGTGCGTTGAGCCCCCTGTGGTGGAGCTGACGTTTCCCGGGGGGGCCCTCCCTGGAGCTGGTTGCCCCCGTCTGCGGACTCAGTGACGCCCCCCTGGCAGGAGGCGTCAGGCCCTGACCTCGTGTCTGAGGTCCCTGGGTTTCCGACGCTCCCTCCTGGGGCCATGCCTCGAGGCTTCTCATCGTGCCTCAGGTAGGCTGAAAGGCGCTCATAGTGATGGAAATGGATGATATCATTGTTTCGGCTGGGCTGTCTTTTGTCACCGGCTAGCATAGGTCATGGTCATGAATGAGCGCGCGTGCTTAAAACGAGTTCTGCAAAAAACGATCATTTACGAAGGCGAGAAGTTTTTTTTTTAGGGGGGGAATAAAAAACTGCGCCGCCCAAGCAGTACATAACAACACATCAATCATTCAGTTAACGCAGGAATCGTTCAGTTTTTTGGTTTAAAACGGATGTCCTCAATCTGGGGCCGTTTTTTTCCTAAATCCCAGATCCTATCATTACCATTACCTGATTGGCTCGATGATTTTGAGGGGGAGCTCAAGAAGTTATTGACCAGTTGCTTCCACTCCAGGAAGTGGCAGATCGGTGAGGCTGAGTATGCGGGGGGGCGTTCGGCAGCAGGCCGACGGACGCATTCTCGTTGACCAGGAGACGTATATTCTAGAGCGGGTCCGTCCCATGAGAATCGAGAGAGAATGTGCCGAGAGATCTGGGGAGATGCTAGACGAGAGAGAGAGCCTCGATCTTTTTTTGGCCGAGTGGCCAAGATCCTCTGGGCGGCCCGTGAATCTCGCCCCGACGTGTCTGGATCCGCTTCGATGCTGAGCGCCGAGTGCCCCAATGTCACAATGGCCTCAGCTCTCCTGGCCAACGAAGTAGTCCGGCATCTCCGCAGCACAGACCGCTCGTGTCTGAAGCTATGGCGCCTAGATTTGAGCGCTGTGGCGATGATCGCCTGCAGGGACGCCGGAGGCCCCAAGGCCGCGAGGAAAAGCGGTGCTCGGGGAGGAGAGTCCAGGATCAAGGACAGGCGCCGTGCTCGTGTCCAGGATCAAGGACAGGCGCCGTGCTCGTGTCCAGGATCAAGGACAGGCGCCGTGCTCGTGTCCAGGATCAAGGACAGGCGCCGTGCTCGTGCCTCGCTCCTGTCATGGGGGAGCCAAGGGCGTCGCTCGGTCGTGTCTTCCACGCTCCCCGCGGAGACGCTGCGCGTTTCTGGAGCTCTCGCGGAGGGACAGTTGCTGTGGCTCGTGTTTCGGGACGCTTCGCATGGGGATGTCAAGGGGGCCAGAATGGTGGAATCCTGGGGCCGCCCGTCTGTTCGCCGTGGCCCTCTGGGACGGGTGTGCCCTCGCCGAGGCTCCCACGAGCGTCTCAGTCGTCGACGCGGCGTCGCCCTTCGACACTCTCTGGAAGAACTGCGGGGTAGCCAACGTTGACCGACGCAGTGCCATCGAGATGAGCATCGTCCGTGATTCGATGACGGCCGAGGGCTCAGTGGTGCGCTGGGTTCCTCGCTGCAAGATTCCCGTGGATAGCATGGCGAAGATCGACCCAGGTCGCGGGGACTTTACTCAGACAGACCTCGTGCACAACGGGGCCCCAACGTTGGTCGACGGGTCAGGGTCCATAGACGAGAGGCCCCCAAATAAGTCTGTGAGGTCTCGGACCAGGAACGCGTCCTACAGCAGGAGTCCTCCGAATGTCGATTGGCCGAGCCAGAGGCAGAAGAAGCTGAGGAGGCAGAGGCGGGAGGAAGAGATGAGTGCCGTGCCGCCAGGACCTCCTCACGTCGGGCAGCCAATCCTCCAGGGCTACTGTGCCCAGAGCCCTTCAGACCCGGGCCCAGGGCCGAAGGGGAAGAGGGCGGGGAAAGGGAACCTCGCTCGTAGCGCTCATTTTCGTCTGTGCAGGTGCGGGGCCTCATGGGGCACTGAAGTGGGGGGTAATTATTGTTTTTAAGAATCTCTCTCCCTTTTCCCATGAGGTCCCTGAAATTGTGCTGTGGCATGTTGCTGTATGAATCTCTTTTTTTTGCATTGCGCATGCCTTTGATCTGTGATCATGCTGTGTGTCCGCCAGCGCTGTGGTGGTTCAAGTCTGCAAAACCAGTGCGGGCAGAGGGGTCCTAGCCCGCTCTCGCGTGCCCGCCCGGCCCCCCTGTTCTCCGTCCGATCTGGGTGCCCCCCTCGCACAAACCCGCGGCCAGCTTGTGTGTGTGTGTGTGTGTTTGTCTGTGTGTGTGTGTGTGTGTGTGCGTGTTTGCTCGCAGCCAGAATGCGCACCAGTCTCATCAGGTCTCGTCTCGTCCTGATTTGAAATTGTGGTGTCTTTGCTGTGGGGCCTACAGCGCGCATCACCGTGTTGACCTGGATCAGCCATGTTCGGGACGAGTGAGCAACGCTGGGGCGCAGGATTCAGGCCGAATCGCTGGGGGTCTGCTTCCTAGGTCGTGCGTGTGGGGGAGGCAACGCAGGGAGAGGGGGGGGGAGGCGAAGGAGGGAGAGGCCGGAACATGCAGAGAGTGCGAAGCGATAGTCTGCTCCAACCGCCCGCCCCGCGAACGGCAGCCTCAGGAGCAAACGCGCAAACGCACCATCCGTAGGCCCGCCTTCGCCCGCAGGCGCGTGCTGCTAGGCCTGTTGGCGTAGGTAGTGCATTTTCGTGACGTCCAGTGCGCCACCCAGGCCATGCTTGTTGCACTTCGCTAGTCACCATGACTGATCGGTATATCCTGCTCTTCGTCGTCGTCGTCCTCTTTTTCCTCCTCCTCTCCTTCCTCCCCTCCCATCGCCTCCCCGCGCCTCGCCCTTCCCTCCTCCCTCCCCGCCCCTCGCCTCCTTTAGCGGCCCCCCCCCCCGCGCCCGGCGAGGCGGCGGAGACGGCGAGGATGGTGGAGAGGGCGGAGATGGCGGAGACGGCGGAGATGGCGGAGACGGTGGAGACGGCGGAGACGGCGGAGACGGCGGGGACGGCGGAGATGGCGGAGACGGCGGAGACGGCGGGGACGGCGGCGAGGAGCCCCCGCCCCTCCCCTCGCGCCGCCGCCCGAGCCATCGGCGCGGCGAGGTGGGCGCGCCGCGCCATCTCTCCATCCTCCTCCTCCTCCTCTTCCTCCATCCTCCTCCTCCTCCTCCTCCTCCTCCTCCTCCTCCTCCTCCTCATCCTCCTGCTCCTCCTCCTCCTCTTCCTCCTCCTCCTGCTCCTCCTCCTCCTCCTCCTCTTCCTCTCCCCCCCAGGGGAAGGAGGAGGGTCGAATTGCTCCTTGGTGCAACCGCAGTCCGCCAGCGCCCGAGCCTTCGTCATTTCTCAAAAGCGTAAACGCAGGATGAGGATGCCCGCGTCCTGCGACGCACCTGCTGCGGCGAGCGCGAGGCAACGGGGAGCCACAGAATGTATACTAGGTGTTCGATCGTGGACCCCTTGTTGAACGCAGCCATCCAGCTTCACGCCGAAGACAGTCAGAGGCTTCCACAGACCGCCAAAACCCCCCCCCAAAAGACTGTCAGAAGACCGCCCCAGACCTCGAGACCGCCCGCGGACGATGGGCAACAACGGGCCCAGAAGCGAACTGGTCGAGTATGCGTCGCTCGTCGAAGGGCCAGGCTGGGAGTAACAACGACATGCCTGCGTCCCGCGATGCACGCGCCTTGGCGACCGCGAGGCAAGGGGGACGGTGCACGTTATGCAGACTTCGCCTGTCGAAGGCGCACCCCCCTCGGAGGGAAGCGAGCAACAGCTTGCCGGAAGAGTCCTCCCTTCGGCAGTGGCGGAAGGGAGCCCCGGGCACAGCGTCCGTGACGAGCGGTTGTGCTCCTGCCGTCCATTGAGGGGGGGGGTCTTAGTAGCGTGATTATTACAACACAAACGAAATCTGGGTTTTTTCCTTGAAAGAGACAGAGTCAAACAATGCGCAAAGTCGCAACTTTTGAAGCATGCATGGCAGATTTGGCCGCCCGAGGTGGTGCGAGCAGCGGACTGCGACTTTCCTCGGGGCACACGATATCTATCATTATAATTAACGACGACATTTCGCATTCTTAATTTACCTTTATACTCATTATAAGAATCAAATTTGATTACACTCGTATCATAAATAGACACTATACTGCTATTTTGAGTTAATAAACCAAAAGCTTCTAAAGAATGTAATTTGCCATCGATCGGCCGGGGCTCCGCGAGCTCCCTGCCACGAGACACAGGCCTCGCCGCTCCTCGACGGGGCCAGAGGAGAGGCGCCCGCGCGCGCGGCCCCGCTGCCCACGAGAGGGCACGGGAAGACAGTCGGGGCCCCGAAGAAGGAACCCTTCTCGTTGGGGAGGGCCTCCGTGTTCCCGAATTGTTTCGCAGTTTGCCTTGGGTTTTCCTGAGGTTCTCCACGGGAAATCGAGGTTCAGCTTGTGGAAAATAGGGGCCTCGTTCCTCATTTGGGGTTCCTCAGGTCAACGCCCCGACTGTAACATGGGCCGCGCGCGGGCATCCGCACACCGCCCTGAGCATCCCTGCGCGCTGCTGAGGCAGCGGCCAGCAGCGCTGACGACCACGTCCAGGATTCCGACGGGACTGGCGGGGGCCACGTCTGCGTCGCGCCCCAGCGTGCACGCCACTGCCACGCGAACTGTGCGACGGTGGAAACGACATCTCGCCTGGGCGCGGCCCCGCTTCCGACGACTAGGAGAGCGACACATCTGCGTCGCGCCCGCGGTGGAGGGCCGCTGCTCGGCGAAATCTGCGCGGCGCTGGCGCAACATTTCCGCCCGCTCGCGCGCGGCCCGGCGTGCGGAGACTTGGCGAGCGATCGATGTGCGCCGCGTCCGACCGGGACAACTGTCAAACATATGATTCGCGACGCTCAGGCGGCGAGAGTGGCATTTCCAAGTGCCGCTCGCGATGTACGCCGCGGCGCGCTCCTGCCGAACGCTGGCAAGGTGGACGGTTCTGTGATTTGATGGGCAGCACGGCTGGGCTCTGATTGGGCTGCCCTATCGGTCGGCCAGGTGGCAGATCATTCTCGAAGATCTGTTGGACAACCTTTGATTTTTCCTCCAAAATCCGCCTAGAGGGGGACATGCCCAACCCAGTAAAAATTGAGAATGAGGGTGGGGGAGCAGCAGGAGAAGGATGATGAGGTATTCGTCATTCGGAGGACCTGTTTGGGCCTCAGAAATTTCGCGGGTCGCTCTAGGACGCCGGGAGAGAGTGGTAGGTCAGAAGCCCGAGCCACATTCATGGTGGAGGAAGGGCCTTCTTCCAGAAAGGGGAGGAGGCATGTCCAGGAGGCATGGATGATGATACAAGAAGGGGCATGGCAGGATTTGGAGTTATGGGGTCGATGTTGGCGCCAAGGCAGGTGCCTCGTCAAGCAAGCAAGTATTCTGCCATGGTACCTCAAGACCGTGCCATTCTAGATAGGTGCCCCTTGAGTCTCGGCACTGTGTGATTATTCGGTGTTGTTGCCTCCACTCCTCGTCTCGTCTCTCCATCATCCCCATCCCGGTCTGTTACTGTTAACACTTGCCCCTTGACGCCATGCGAGGACGGCGGAGAACCCCAGGCCGAGTACGCTTGAGGTTGCAGATTCCGCGGCCATCTGGTAGAGGGACTTGTCGATTGGTGTGTGCGTCCTCCAGTTGTAGAGGGTAAGTGCGCTCGTATCCATGATGTGAAGTCTCATGCGACGTGGCACGATTCCCTGCCATTTGTCTCAGCACGACCTGCGGGACTACATGAACCGAAATTATCTATCATCTCAGGCCTCACAGCGCTGTGTTGATAGCGGTGTGACAATTTTCCGTTCGTGAGAAGCTTGATAAGCGCCACGGAAGCGCCATTCATGTTCTCGCATGTCTCATCCTCGGAGTAAGAGGAGGACTGCAGGAGAAGGGAGGCGCGGAGAAGGTGGTGGAAGTGGACGTAGAGGAAGAGGAGATGGACGAAGAGGAGAAGGAGGCGCCTTTACAGGATCCTCTGCTTCACTCGTCCTTGTCCCATGTGTCGCCACCTGGATTCTTGCCTTTCGTTTCCAACAGTTTTTCTGCACGAGGCTATGTCCACCGCTCGGCCTCGAGCAACTTTTTACAGCCTCTGCCGCACTACTCCCTGAGCCATCCCTGCCATATCGAGGGCAGGAGGAAGTCGAGTGGGCAGCTGCCGTCGGGAAGTGCCCATGGTGGGAACCATAGAATGAGGAAGGGGGACAGGTGAGGCACTATTGAAAGCTCAGGGCCGCACGGAGATGGTAGCATCGGGCACCAACTCGTGCAAGTGTCTGTTTTTGTCCACACATGTGAACTTCTCGTTTCCGTCCGTTCAATAGGTTTTGTCTTGGAGTGTTCCCGGGTCGCCTGGCCAGTGCCAGGGGGCATTGTTGCGGTAAGAACGAATGCCGCCTGAGGGGCCCGCGCGTCGAGACATTGGCAACATGCTGAGGCGGTTCGGCCTGTTTCGCATGAGACATCGTCGCAAGTCTGCCTTCCGAGACGACCAGATTTGACATCGTCTGGCCCGTTTTGCTTGATACATCCTCGCAACTCTCGGTTCCAAGACGCTACGCGAGAGGTGGTGCAGCCCTTGCCTCGTCCGTTTCGGTTGAGACATCGTCACTACGTTAGGCTTGAAGATGCCGCCCGCGAGGTGATCCGGTTAGTTTGGCCTGAGACGTCCCCGCAATTCTTGGCAAAGAGATGCCGCGTGCGAGGGGGTCCAGTCAGTTTCGCATGAGACGTCCTCGCAATTCCGAGTAACTGTTGAGGAGTGGGAGGGGGAGGAGTAGCAGGATGACTGAGGACAAGAGGGAGGAAATATAACGCTTGCATTGCTGTCAGACAAGTACTTTCGTTTTCAACGCCCTCGGGACACTTCTCGTCGCCAGGGCTGGACGTGGCCCAATCCTGCCTGGTGATGCGGGCTGGTGCTCTGCCGACCATGGGTGTGTCACGGGCCTGTTTGCGCCGACCTTGGGTGGCCCCTTGGCTATTGAAGCTGTTAGATTTACGGCAGTCTGCTCGACTCCCGGAAGGGGAACATCTTACTCTCGTTGTGATTGATCTTCCTCTCGTTGAAGCTCGCAGAGCCACCTGGCTTGCGTGGAACGAAGGGTTTCAGACTCTTCGGGCTACAGTATCGTAATTTCCTATACGACCACCCTTCGGGGGATAAGGAGGTTGTGGGGGGGGAGAGGGGGTGGAACCAACATCTGACTCAATCGATCTCACTATCGATCTCACTCAACGGGACACCACGGGACACCACGGGTCACCACGGGACATTTGTCGATCTCGCTATCGATCTCACTATCGATCTCACTCAACGGGACACCACGGGACACCACGGGCCACCACGGGACACCACAGGACACCGCGGGACACCTCTCGATCTCACTATCGGTCTCACTATCGATCTCACTATCGATCTCATTCAACGGGACACCACGGGGGACCGCGGGACACCACGGGACATCTCGGAACACCACATCGACCTCATTGTCGATCTCACTATCGATTTCACTATCGATCTCACTCAACGGGACACCACGCGACACCACGGGACACCTGCCGATCTCACTATCGATCTCACTTTTTGGGACACCACGGGATACCACGGGACACCTCGGGGCACCACATCGATCTCAGTATCGATCTCAGTATCGATCTCTGTATCGATCTCACTATCGATCTCACTATCGATCTCCCTCAACGGGACACCACGGGCCACCACGGGACACCACGGGACACCGCGGAACACCGCGAGCCACCGCCGGAAGGACGGACGGACGGGCGGGCGGGGGAGAATCATTTGTCTTGGCTTCGCCCTAGCAACGGCGGACACCACGGGACACCACGGGACACCACGGGACACCGCGGGACACCGCGGGACACCGCGGGACACCGCGAGCCACCGCCGGACGGGCGGGAGGGGGATAATCATTTGCATTGACTTCGCCCTAGTAACGGCGGACACCACGGGACACCACGGGACACCGCGGGCCACCGCCAGACGGGCGGGCGGGGGATAATCATTTGTCTTGACTTCGCCCTAGCAACGGCGGGCTCATTCCCCTCGCGCGCCCACGCAGCTTTTCCTCGCCCGCACGCACGACACGAACGAGACGAAACGGTTTCCCGTCTGTGGGTCTCTGTTCCACTGCGATTTCACCCCCCAACCTCCGATTCAGTAGTGCATTCAGTCTGATTCCGTGGGGCCTCGTGGGGGCATATTTTTGGGATCTCTTGGGGCCCTGTGGGGGCCCTTTGGGGGCCCTTTGGGGGCCCTCGGGGGTCTCTTGGAGGCTTCTGCGGGCCTCTGGGGGGGCCTTCAGTCTCGGAGGGCTCGAAGTCTCAGTTCTGGTTCCCCCTTCTTGGGCCTTTTTTGCGGGCCTCTCGAGCCCTCTCGGGGTCCTTTTGGACCGTTTGGGGGCTCTCTTGGGACGTGCTGGGGCTGTCTTGGGAGCGCTCTGGGCGGACCTGGGGCGCTCTTGGCGGCCTCCTTGGCTGTCTTGGGCGGCCAGAAGCCCGAAAAGGTGGTGACGCCAACATTTCTCTTTCAGGACTGCCCACGCAGCATCGATTCATTTGCCCCTCGGGGCCCTCTTGGGGTCCTCCCGGAGCTCTCGGGGGCCGTGTGCTGAAATCGTCGCTGGCCCTCTTGGCGTGCTCTTGGCCTCCAGCCCGGGGGGCCCGCCCCCTGCTCGGCGGCCCTGTGGGGGGCGGTGCCCCTGGGGCGCTCTGGTGGCACCGAGGGCCGCGTGCGGGAGATCGGGCATTCCTGGGCCCGACGCGGCCGAGACTCGACTTACGGCTCGGGGGTGGACAGAACCCCCACCCTGACACGTCGATTAGTGAATTGTCCGTTTTCGGTTTTCGAGAGGGCGCCGCGGCCGTCATTTTCCAGGCTTGCGCCCGCCAGGTTTGGGCCCGAGGTCGTTTTCACTAAACCACGTTTTACTAAAGGGGGTTCTGTCCATCCCCGAACGGCTTGTACTTGTCGTCCGGGGCCGCGCGCGCGCGAGGTATAACCGTCTTGGCCTCTTGCCAGAGATTTTTAGCGCGCATCTGGCCCGTGGGGCGGCGAATGGCTTTGTCAAGCAGGCGCGTGCGCGCGGAACATGTGTTCGCGCATGCGGTTTGCATGCATGCATGTATGCACGCATGCAGGTACACGCAGGTACATTCAAACAGCATACTCAGGACTAGTAGCATTACAGCGGCATCCTTGCATCGTTGCATTCGGCTTCACTGTCATTTGGTACCCCAGCGAGATCAGATCCTCGCGTCATGCTCACATCATGAAGGTTTGGGAGGTCGAGGCAGACAAACGATTGCTTGAAGGTGGGGAGCGATATCACGACGGGTTCGTTGGAACGTCGGCAAGGGTGTGTCGCTTTCATCATGGTGCCGTGAAGTAATGGCTTCATGGGTGTCTGAACTGCGCACCCTTGTTTGCAGTGTGCGAGTCTCTTTGTCGCAGGGTAGCCTGTCGGAAGCTGGGCGAGGGCTGGCAAATCCGTGGCTGCTAAAACGGTCTTCCCAGAAAAACAACAACAAACAAATTCCCGTACTAGAAATCAGCGCGTTCAATCGTGAACGGGCTGCTTCCCGGAAGAGCACAGCGAGTTCCCGGGAGCTCCATTCTAGCAGCCACGGGTTTGCCAGCCTTCCCCTGGCTTCTGAGCCTGCGAGAGGCGAGCTCGGGAGGCTCAGTAGATGTTAGGACTGCGTCGACTTCTCGGCTCGCAAGGGGCGGGCTGGAAGGGGACTGCGCTGACGCTGCCTCGGGCATCGCGCGCGCTGCGCTGGAACTCTCCCAGTCCTCGACCCCTCCGCACCACTGAAGCCAGTTCCGTCTCGTAGGTTGCTCGATTGAGACTCAAGGGTTCCAGCGCTCTGACGCGTGCTCAAATTACGCATCTGCTGCCGTCAGGCCTCTTTGGAACGGGGCACGCCTACACGTTCGTCGGCGCGCTTCGCATGCTTTGCTTCCCCTCGTTTCGCACGGGCAGGAGAGTGAGCAGGAGGAGATGGGGACATATGGGGACGCGTGAAGAGTACGGGGAGGAGGAGGAGGAGGAAGAGGAGGAGGAGGAGGAGGGACAGATACCATTATGCTGGCTTTCCCGGGGCTTGCAAGACGGGGCAGGCTCGCGTGAGCTTGCGCCCACCAGCAAGGCATCCGGATGACCTGGGGGCCCCCGCCGCCCCCTTCCCGCTCGAGATGGGGAGGCTCTCAACGCTCGAGAGGCCGTTCTGCGTATCGCCCTCAGTATTACGCATCTCGTCCTCCTCCGCATCGTGAGCGTTTTCTTATTCGGCGTTTCGACATTGGGCGGAAGGGGGGGGAGGGGAGTCTGGCTCCAGAACCTCTGCTTGATGCGACTGTTTGCAGCAGTGCGTTCTGTGGGGTAGGGACTCCACCTGCTTGAGACAGGCGCCCCAAACAGCCAAGATCTACTCCATTGGGGGGGGGAGAGGGGGGACGAGGGCCCGCGCCGATCGGCAAAACAAGGAATGAAAAAACGATCACATCCGTCTCCTCCGCCTCCTCCTCTGGCTTCCTGCTACGTCTATACGTTTATCGAAGATGCCTCTTGCGAGCCCCCTGCCTTACTGGAAACACTTATGTGGTGAAACGTAGGGCGAAGGTGTGGGCCAGATAGCCCACAACGCGCCCAGACTCTCCAAGAGGGTCCCTGGACGCCCCCTGTGAGGACCCCTAAGAGGCACAATTCATGTGCTTTCCATTGGTTTTCCAGTGCTTTCGGATTTCCGCCTTTTCGGATCAATCAGTCCCAGAAGCGCCAACGCCCGCACCAATACGGGGTCAGACCCCCCCCCCAGGTTGCCGATGATGCCCAAGAGGCTGCAACTGCAAATCCGCTTCAAGACACCTCCAGGACAGCCCCACAAAGGCACCGAGTCGCCCCCAGACGTTCTGAGAGGGCTCCCAGACGGCCCCCATGAAGGCCCCATGAGGAACACATCATTGGTTTTCCATCGGTGTTTGACGTTTTTTGGAACTCCCGCCTTCTCAATTCAGAAGGCAGGAAACAACCCAGGAAGAATCCATTACGAAGGTAGGCGACAACCCACAACGAATCAACGAAAACTGAAGACCGACCCGAGACTCCAGACCGTATAAGAAGGCCCGCGTCGTCGTCGTCGTTGTCGTCGTTCGTCGTC